TGGCCGGAATGGGACAAGAAAGGAAGAAAAGGAAGTGTACCCATTTCTGAAGAGGTCGTCTTTACCATCACTTTTGGACACTTATCTCCAGTTTCTCCGGCATCCCAACAGACTCACACTGGAGCTCTACAGGAGGCTTCCAGGCTTTCTACCTTGGACGAGTGCTCCAGCCTTGATGTCTCTTGCTCCGCTTCCAACTTCTTGGTCTAAGCAGCTACTGGATCCTCTCGCTTCTGATCCCACAAGCCTACCTAATAAGTTCCCTTGTATGACTTGCACATTTATTTTCCACTGATTCCGCTCCTCTAGAAAACTCTTAACACAGACTGTCCCTGTGACATGGAGCTGCTGCAGGGCAGTACTGGTGTCAACTGGGCCCACACACGGTTGAGGGCAGCTCCAGGGTGGCATACTCATTGCCACGTGCACTAGCCAAAGCATGCCACACACGCTGGATGGGGTACAGACAGGTGTTCCTCCAGGAAGCAAGTTCTCACAGGGAAGAGGCAGTGGGAATAATCAGACACAATGATGCAAACTGCTCAATAAATATTTGATCAAATGAATGACATTAACAAATGAGTAAAATGACTATATTCTACCTGATAGAAAGAAGGAATACTTTCTCTATGTCCAAATCAGTTGCTAAGTAGGGAAAGAAATGATTTTAGCACTGGAAAGTATATAAAACCGAATGACATTTTTATATTTACGTCTGATTTACACTGCAGACTTTATGCATCAGTACTGTGTAAGCCACCTGCATTGAAAGCTGAAGAAAGTAGACGATCACAGTCTGTCACTGTGGGGGCTTACCCTGGTGCTGTTTCTTCCAGAGCTCAGTCTGTACCCCTGGACCCTGTGCTCTGAGCCAGAGCCCCATGCCAGCTCTCACCTGGAAGGTGAATCCTACCTCCAAAACAAGTATGGGTATCTTCTCCAGCTTTCTTCCAGCAGGGCACAGGCCCCTGCAGAAGCCCCACAGACAGAAGAAGCTTCAGTGGCCTACAGCAGAAGCCCCCCCTCTTTTTTTTGGTACCCAGGACTGAACTCAGGCCCTTGTGCTTGCAACGCAGGTGGCGGAGCCACTGAGCCAAATCCCCGGCCCATCCCTCTCTCTCTTGAATCTACAATGGACTATGACTTGAACAAAAAAATAAAGCTTTCTGGCCATTTGCTCCTAAGATCTGGGGTTTTGGTATGATCCTGAAGGTGCAGACAGATACAACAGCTGTTGAGCTGTATCGCAGGGCAACTCCAGTCACCTACTAGTTCCACACCACCTTCAAGAGCCCCAACACTGAGACAGTAACTTTTATACAAAATCCTTCATTCTCACAACAGTTAACAATAGCAAAGGTCAAAAGGCAACTGAATAAATCATGGGATAACTAAGTTTTTGCAATGATACAGAAATATACTGATGCATTAAGTATAAATAGAAAGGTGGAGGACAGCATAAATCAGTTCCCAAAGTATGACTCCAAGGCCCGAGGCAGCTTAAGACCCCGGGCAGGGCACTAGGCCCATGCTTTCCAACCACACACTACGAGAGGGACCATATTTTCATTGCATACTCCATCCAAAAGACAAAAGAGTAATAGATCAAATGTAGTTGAGAATTCTAGCCAGACATAAAACATATTTTCATTTGTTTGTTTGAAGACAAACCTAGGACTCACTGATTTTGTTCTGCAAAATGTTTTTTTATAAATTTTAAAGTGTTAAGTTTCAATTTTATGTTGTAGTATGACAATATTAATAGGTGCAACTCACATTTTAAAAGCTCTTTAGAGTTTCAAACTTTGATAATGTAAAATAGTCCTGAGACCAAAAATTGAGTATATTTACAACTTTGTGTGAAAAAGGCAGAAAAATAGATAGATCCTTGCACCAGCTCATAGATACATAAGGTGTAAAACAGATCGGGATTAGCAGAGCTGGGCAGATGGGAAGACCTTTTACTGAGTGTAACATTCTTTTTCTGCTCTTTAAAGTTTGAGCGACTCCAAAAATTAGAAAACTAACCAATAGGGACTGGGGATTTAACTCAGTGGCACTGTGCTTGCCTCACAAGCACAAGGTCCTGAGTTCAATCCCCAGAATCCCAAAAACAAAAAACACAAAACACAAAAATCAACCAGCCACTCCTAAGATCCAGATGTAGCAGGAAATCTTCAGCCTGACGGGAAACAGGAAAACCAGGCCGCAAAGCCTGTGTGTGGACTGCATCCTCTGTCCTATATCCAGAAGAAACAGTCTCCAGGGTTAAATCTGAGAAGGTCCTTTACTGAAAAAGGAAAGCCAGGAGACCTCACAAAGGACTCCAACATGAGCATCACCACTCAGTCACCGCTGACTGAATGTGAGACAAGCAGGAAAGCTCCCCAGAGGGAACGGAAGCAGCACAGGAACTAAAGGACAGTTGTTCCTCTTCTCAGTCCTTCCCAAAAGAAGACATCATGGCAATGCATTCCCAGGTTTTTAACAGCACAATTCATAATGGCTAAATCTTGAAAGTTATCACAGATGGATAAAGGAAATGTGAGTTTTACTCACAACGACCTATTACTCTGCCATAAAGATAAACGAGTCATGTGTCGGACAGTGGGTGCAACTTGAACATCACGTGAAGTGAAACGAATCACACTCACAGGCTTAAATATCACATGGCTTCTCTTACATGAGAAACCCAAAGTATACACAAAGAGCAAAGTAAAAGGCTGAGGATATGAAGTAGGGAGGCAGATCTTTCTAAAAAGGGATTGAAAGATGGAGGGAGGGGAGAGGGAAGGGAAGGAAAAGGATTAAAAAAGGAAGATGTGTTACAGAGATGTACCAACTCCACACAAGAAATGTAAAAATTATGTACTGCAAACATTTACCAAAAAAAAGGCAGAATTGAGAGATAGAGGCAGGAGGGAAGGAAGGGAATGAAAAAGGAATTGAGACGTGAGATGCTCATGTACCAATTCCCCATAAGGAGTGTGAACAGATACAACTTGCATAGCACTTGATATGTGTCAGAAGCCTCCAATAAAAAAGGAACTAAAGGAAATTCAAAATATTTTTAAAAACAAAAACCAGAGTCATATACCCAAAGGTATTAGAGAAGTTATTGGGAACATACCAACAGGTTGATCTGGGAGAGTAATAGTTTCTAACAGTCACTCATTTGTTCTTGTGCAAATCACTGATACACCCGTGGCAAAGGGGAAAAGAACTTGTTTTAGCACCAGACACAGATGCAAGCTTTTCTACCCACATGCTCATGAGTACATCATTTAATCTCTTGAGCATCAATTCATGGCATAGAACTTTAATAATACCTCCCTTACAAAGTGACCAAGAATTTAAAGGGTTACTTTTTTCTATGTAACAGTACAGTCCCCAGCACTTAGTAGATCTTGAACAAATGACACTCTTATTGCCCATGACAGCAGAAAGAATTGTATATTGTTACAAAAGGTTTTAAAAACAACAGAGGGCCAGGGATTTAGCTCAGTGGTTCGGCTGCCTGCCTTGGAAGTGCAAGGTTCTGAGTTCCATCCCCAGCACGAAAAAAAAGATTCACTTTGGGCTGGGGATTTAGCTCAGTGGTTCCGGTGCCTGCCTCACAAGCGCAAGGGCCCAAGTTCGATCCCTGGTACCAAAAAAAAAACAAAAACAAAAACAAAAAAACAGAAATCACAATGACGCACACTTTGAGGTTAATAATCATTTAGTCGGTAGGCAGGCTGGGGATTTAGCTCAGCAGAATAGCGCCTGCCTGGCAATTGCGAGGTCTTGAGTTCAATCTCTGATACACCTCCCCCCACAAAAATCATTTAGTCTTACTATTTCACTTATAAACATACAACTTTGCATATACAGGGTAAAATGGATTCTGGAAACAAAATTCTAGAGAAATGGAAGCAATCACAAAAATGATCAACTGAGGAGAAAAACAGAACTGCATTCTGCCTTCTACCCACATGAACTGGAAGTAAAAACAAAGATCACACAGGATCAGAATCATTTTGCCTCAACTGTACAACTTCTACTAGATGGCGAGCCTGGGTCACAGACAGCCAAAAGCAGACATGGTCCGGCCCTTTTCTCAAGTGATGATTTGAGACCTTAACATCAGGTCTCTCTTCTCTTTCCTATCCAAGGAACTAAAGTTAACTCAAAGAACAACCAGATCCACAAAGTACAATGTCAAAGCTCAGTTTCTTCCAGACATGGATCATTATCTATTTAAAAGTACAAATGAAAGTAAAATGCTTACTCAAACCTAAAGAAGAAATTGCAATTCATTCACTTCTTCACTTAGTGTACAGCACTGTAAATGAAGGATGTGGCTGAGAAACGGATGCTATCAAAAGTGTGTCACTGGGCCGGGGATTTCACTCAGTGGTGTCGTGCCTGCCTCACAATCGCAAAGTCCAGAGTTCCATCTCCAGTACCAAAAAAAAAAGTGTGTCATCTACAGAAGTTGGGCCCAAGAAAACGAAAGATGTGAGCTTGTCTTCATACCCAGTATGCATCCACATCGAGAAGCAAGTCACTAGTGACAGAATTTCCAAATTGCACTACTGGGAATGGCCAGAGGTTGGGGAAGGGGAGACAGACAGGTGCCCAAACTTCGGTCTACACCTCGTCCTCTTCAGTCCAAGGCATCCTTGGATACTCTGAGACCTTTTGCTTCAAGAGCATTTCAACGACATTACACAACACTCTGTAGTTCTAGGAACTCAGATTACCCAGTAACTTCGTTCAAAATGCAACATTAAAAACTGACTTTGCCGTTTTATAAGTAAAGTATATGGCTTTACTAATGATTTTATTCATTTCATTTTTAAATTTTTATTTTTATTAGCACATATTTGCAATACATGATTACACTCATGATGAGTTGGTGTGTGTGCCTAACAAGATGAACAAAAGCCATTCTTACAACACAGAATATAAAATCAACATTATATATTGAAGCAACACTTTAAATTATCAACATTGTGTTGCCATATTTCACATTTACCCACATGTACACTTTTCAGCTGGAAAAGGACATTCGCATGTTAGTAAGTCCCCTAGGAGTGGCTAGAAAAATAGACTGTGGGCACTATTAAATCTACTTGGCATCTGGATTCATATGCGATCTATTCACAAAGTCACGGAACCAGCTGAGCAGTGCAACTACAGAGCATAAATGTAACCTAGGCACAATCACAACAGAGTTTGTGCTTCCTGGAGTGTACATTAGAGAAAATGGGGCAATGGGGTGGGGGCTGAATAGTGCTAACCAGCCTTTGCAAAAATACATTGTTTAAAGCATGCAGGACAGAAAACTGCAATCAATATTCAGCTTTAAAAAACAAAATAACAAATTCATGAAATACATATTTCATAATATAGAAAATATGAATATTTGTCAGAAATGTAAGACTGTGGCTTTTCCAGAGCTTCACACATCTAGGGGCCCAAAATTAAATGTTTTAAGCTTATCTGTAATGTGTGGGTCAGGAATAAAAACAAGGCTGAGGTCTCAGCCAGGCTGAGTTGTATCTTCACCTTCTAGGCTCCATTTCTCATCTGTAAGCCAAGTCTACCCCAGCCCCAGTCCATCCCAGTGCTTGGTCAATAGCCAAGGCCTTCCAGGGGCAGAAAACAAGTGTTTCCTACTCTGTGTGGTCCCCAGAAGGTCTGAGGTGGGAACATCCCTATGGCGCTCGCTCTCTCTCTCTCTCTCTCTCTCTCTCCCTCTCTCTCTCTGTTCTCCAAACTATTCTTTTAATATTACCTCCTCAACAAGTAGAAAAATAGGATATAAGTAGATTTAGCCAGCAATAAATACACCTAAATCGGACGCTAAAAATACATCACTCAATAATGCAAATCGACCTCTGTACACTTATTATTCTGCTTCTTAGACTTTTCTCAAATCAATTCCTAATTTGAGATGTTTTCCAAATATCATTATGAAAACAAACAAGAGTAACACAATAAGCAGCAGCTCTAGAATTAGGCAGGTTTCAGAAGCAACATTTTTAAAGGGTGGGAGGGTGGTGTGGTCATCACCTTGAGCAGTCTGCATCACCAAAGGCAGGTCGTGGGGTTCTTGTACCAAGGCCTCGGGAACGCCACCTGGCAGCTCCCCGGCCCACCACTCCTAAAGTAACCTGCAGCCAGTTCTGGTCTAAAATCTCAAAGTCTGAGATTAAACCAAAAGAAGCTGCAGTCTGCCTTTCCACAATCACTCACTCATTCATCACTACATTATTTGCCTAACAAGAAAATAAATTAACCTTTAAGCAAAGCACTACACCTAACTAAGAAGAAAAAGTCTCTCCACAAAGTCTGGGAATAAGCCTGTGAACCAAGACAGTCCATGTTACAACTACACAACACAGTTTAAGCCCAACTGTGGAACTTGCATGGATTGTTACAATTATCAAATCACTACTACAAAAGAACTACTAAAACTACTATCAAAGCATTTGTCACAAACAAATGCCCTGCAAATCATATTACCGCACACAGAGTTATCAGAAGCTATGCATGTAAGAGATCATAAAGACTCTAGAAGACCCAGAACAGAGACCCTAGGGCCATGCCAGTAGCTGCTCCAGCCAACATGCCTAGGGCCAGATCACTGTCATTGTCTCTATAGCGCTCACGGATGATGACTTGGTTGGCAGGCTGCTGTCCATAGAGTCCTAAAAAAGAAGGAAAAAGAACTTTGAAGAGCAGTTTGTCAAGTCCAGCATTCACTCAAAATGACCACTCCCTCAGGTAGAATCACTGGGCCTGCTCTCCATGGAGCCAGCAGCCAGCTCCTTTCTCCTTTCACGCACAGCACCTTTCTCAGGAGAGGCGGGAGTCAGGAGTCTGTCCCAGCCCTCCTCCACCACAGGCCCAGGTTGTAGCCTGAAAAGAGGATACCTCCATACCCAAGAGTGCACTGAGAGAAAAATCAAGATTTTTAACCCTGCTGGCCAGGGTTAAGGTCCACAATACTAGGCCTAGGGAAACAACAGATTCTGCCTGTAGTTTCCACTTCAGCTCTCCACATCATGTTTACTAGGATCACAGATAAATGAAGAGTGTGGGAAACACGCAACCTGCAAACAATGGGAAGGACAAAAAGTCCCATTGTAAGCCCAAAGGGAAAAGCCCATTTAAAAGTGAATTCACACACACACACACACACACACACACACACACACACACACAGTGAATTCACTTCTTAGTATTTATGCAAACCAATTTTTAAATTAAAACTTTAAGTCTGTTAACACAACTTGATCTTCATTTTTAATCACATGTATGTAGTTAAAATGTGAGAAAATGTTTGTTACAAGTGAACATTTCTTAAAAAGCAAATCTTAAAACAAATTTAATATTTAATTTCCATGATTAAAATGTACAAGTAGAAATATATTAGTTTTCTTCAATGCTTCACAGCTATACTACTGCTTATAACTACTAAACTTTGAAACTGCTCTCATATTAATAAACTTTCCTCCTTCATCCTGTTTCTTTCAACCCCAGCAGAGTTGAAAATTAGTCCTTTAGTATCATATACATGTAGATAATGAACAGAAGGGAGGCCAGCAGGACAACAAAGGCTGGCATTTCTGAGTGCTTACTGGCCTAAGCACTTGAAACATGACAGGCATTTGTGTGTGCTGACTTAATTCTCAATGATCTATGAGTTAGGCACATTCTCATCCCCAGCAGGCAGATGGGCAAAACGGAAGCTCACAGGGCTAAGGATAGGAAGGGCATTCAAAGCCAGGCACTCTGGCTATAGTGTGCACTAGCAGCACTTAAACATTACAGAGAGAGAAGACCAAGCTAGAGAGTAATAAAATGAGACTATCATAAATCTAAGGGCAGCAGGATTAGAAGTAAATGACTTCATGCAAAGATTAAATTTCAAATCTGGTAGAAAGTAGGATTTACTTCTACAGCTTTGAAATTTTCAAATCTTTAATTATATAACTGTACCTAGCAAAATATAATACAGTAGAACTCATAAACAGACTCAATTAAAAGATTCCCTTGGAAAATCTTAGCTGTGCTCTCCTACTGGTCACACTGAGGATCCCTTTCCCCCAGGACCCAAAAGCCACTCTTACAGGGCTTGCTGATCTCTGCTCCTCCAGCTGACTTATCAAAGTCAGCCACAAAGAGTACCAAGTCATACTTAATAGAATTACCTAACACAAATATTAATAGATGGCCAAAAAGTAAGTGAAAATAAGGTAGATATCATTTTCATAATAACTGAGCTAGATATTTTAAGCTACACTAAATAAAGGCAGGACACTTTTACAAATTACTATCAGACAGAAAATTCTAACAGATGGGGAAAAGGGCTATAAACACAAACTCTAGAAGTGCATCTCTGGACTTGAAACTAGAAACTTCAGCACAGTAATATATTGTGAATACAGTCTCTACCAGACAAAAATGAAGACTTCCACCTAAGGAGCCAATTCAAAGGGCAATTGAAGGCAGATGTAGTGATACATGGCTATAATCCCAGCACTCAGGACAGTGAGGTAGAAGGATCACCTCAAGCTGGAAACCATCCTGGGCTACGTAGTGAGTTCAAGGCCAGCCTGAACTACACAGCAAGATCCTGTCTCAAAAAATAAAACAAAATAACAAAAAGACAGCTGAATCGATGCCCACATGGATCAATCAAAGAACATTTACCGTGTGTATTCAGTAGTCTCTATATTTTTTCAGTTGGATGACAGGTCTCTGGTCCCAATCAAACTAACTAGAAGGCTGTTTTTAACTAGCTCTGCATATAAAAACTAGGAAGTTCTGTATGGACTAGCTATCAGCAGGGAGATGCTCAAAGGAGTCAGAGATGCACCATGGTGTCTCAGGAAGGCTGAGAAGATAAAATACTTCTATGAGGAAAGTAAGTCAAATTAAAAACAATCATGTAGGATTACGGGGTGGTGGACAAACATCTAATGCCATAATTATATTTTACTGGTTTTCAATGTCACATAAAAAGTCAGGCAAGGCTGAATCTTCCAAAGTCCCTACTGGTTGGGTGAATTAGCAGAACTTCCAGGCAGAGTGGTACTCATCTTCACTGTTTTTACTTAAGAAACTGTCTCTTATACTAGATGCTAAATGCATCAAAAAACAAATTAACGGCCAGTCACTACAGTGACGTACATCTAAGAGTCGTCTGGGGCCTACACGCCCTACCCACACCACTGTGAGTGCTCACATCCTGTTCCCACCGCCTCTGCACTAAGAAAATGCACTTATTTTGCTTTCAGCCCTTAGACAGCTTCTCCTCCTGCAGATCTCCAGTCTCCTGAGCCGAGTTTTGCTTCCTCCACCACCACTCTTGTGCGCTGTGGTAACAACGCAATGTGTAATCTGTCCTGCCTGGCCTCAGGATGAATGCCTTGCTCTTCTGTCCCTTGAATCCCCATGCAGAGGCCAGCATGGACCCCACACAACCTCCTCCTGCAGCCCGCCTTGCCCAGAAGACAAGGACTGGTAATTCCCACACAGACCCAGCTGACCAACTTTACAGTTTGTTTCACGTGAAGCAAAAAATGGAAAGAAACACATCCAAAGCCCAAAATCAAGAGCAGCCCTGCCAGGCCTCTACTTTCTGTCAATAGCAACCACTGTCCATGCTGATACCAGAAGAAACAGGTGAAAGTCATCTCTTATCCCTGAGAACCACTCCCTACTTCTAGTTGCTTCCTGACAGAGGTGAAAGTCCAGAAGCACAAACCAAGTTCTTGGGAACTAATCGGCACACAATAGTTAGATTCGGTTTTAAAATTTAAGACCACGGTAGCTTTGTAAAGCACTGTGAAAATACAAAAAGGATTTTTAAAAAATTAAAACCGTAACAGCAGCAACATAACATAAAATGAAGTTCATTAGGCCTTAAACTGAGAAATAAAAACTCTCAGATGAAGAGAAATGGCGTGGAAGGCTGTGATTACCTGCATAGGGGTACTGGTATGGCACTGCGTACGCCTGCCCGTTCGCAGCATAGACAATCTGAGTTCCTGCTGGGTATGCACCACCATAGGGACCATAGCCATATGCCTGCTGAAAAGAAACAGGGCCATTAGAAATGCAATCTTGAAATACCTCGTAACATTAAAAATGGGTCTTCAGGTTGCACTCAATAAAACTTAACTCACTAAAAAGAACATGAGACAATGTAGTTATACCTTCTTAAAAGGCTACTAAATAATAAAAATTAAAGGTATTTTCCCTCTCCATTTTGGTGAGCTGGTTGAAGATGAAACCCACTGAGGACGTAAGACCTGGGTCTGTAGCACCTTGTATGCCAGCCTGAAAGGGTCCCTGTAAAAGCTTCCATAACGCTGTAGACTCCTGAAAAGCCACAAGTGGGCTTGGGTTTGGAGATTCCCAGTAAGATAGGATAAAGGCAGAGATGATGCTAGGTGGCTGTTGGATGGTGTAGTTCAACTCGACTCGTCTGATACCAGAGAAAGACCAGAACCAGATCAAAGCTTCATGTGTCCAGTATGGACTTACTCAGTGCTGCAAATCCAGAATAACAACAGATGATGACTGCATTTTGCCTTTATGCATAAAAGGTAAACAATTCTCAAAACTAAAGATGAAAGCTGACTCTTCACCAGAAGTAATTTTACAGAATCAACTTGCAAAAATGTAAGCAGTGACAAAGGAAAGAGAAACATATTATCTTCTATTATTCTTAGATCCTTTGCTAGACTGTTTGATGAAAGTAGTATCTACTTTATCCTTTATGCATGGCCCAGGATATTCAAAAATATGTGAAGCAAATGAAAATAAAATCTCCATTGATATATATATATATGGAAATGGCAAGAATTTTAATGCTTTATCAATATGACATTCACATGGAGTAACTGGGACTTGGACTGATGTACAAAGTATGTAAATATATTAAACTGAGTAGCCACAAGTCTGCTTACAAATCTTAATACGTGACTGATACCTGATCCATTAGGAGACATTGAAGAATGACTATACAATATATGTGAAATGTCCATAGTAAGTTTTCTGTTAAATACCAATAAATTTTTATATGTCTATTTTTCACATATAGTTTGTGTTTATATATAGATTCTCATGAAAACTTTTTCTTATCTATAATTTTATTATTACGAGGGTTTGGGGGGCTTTGAGGGAATTAAACCCAGGACGTCATGCACGCTAAGCATGCACACTACTTCTCAGCCACACTCCCAGCCCTACTATGAATAATTTTACCTTTGCAGTTGGTTGTTTTCTTTTGTATAATCAATATTAACTATTAAACCTCATTTTAAAAGCAAAAAATAAAATAAAATCAAAATTAAAAACCTGAAGTCTACTTTAGGGCTGTATGGTAAATAAACCTTATTCTCACATTATGGTTAACTATCATATTTCCCCATAAGACTATCTTCCAAAAATTTTTGCTTAAAAAGATGCAATAGGATTTATTTTCAGGGGGTGCCTTATTTTTGTATGTACAACAGTCTACATTTTTTTCATTTATTTGTGTAACAAAAATAAAAACTTACAGATGTACAAAAATCTATATTTACTCAAATACAGTCTCTATGTCATCTTCTGGCACATCATCATAACTCTCCAAATTCCAGAGTCTGGCCTGAATTTCTTGCAACTCCATTTCCTGTAGAACCTCGGTCCCAATCGCTCAAGTGTTTGGAGGAACACATGAGAGGTAAGTTCTCCTTAGCGAGCTCTCCTTAACGAGCTCTCCTTAGGGAGCACTTCCTGTCCATGCAGCCTGCTGTAGTGCATTGGCACCACAGCTGCCAGTGATCTTATCCCATGAATTCTTCACCCAAGTCACAACTTCTTGCAGGCTAGGCTTCTCAAAGTTTCCATAAAATCAAGTGTTAACTGAAGACTTACAAGACAGAAGTAGTAATGAAAGTGATGACAGTTAAGAGTGAAGGCCCATGAGACCTTGTCTCAAAAAAAAGGGGAATGGTGGTACATGCTTGTAATCCCAGTATTCCAGAGCCTTAAGCAGGAGGATCACAAGTCTGAGGCCAGACTACATAGTGAGGTGAAAGTCGGCTTGAACTGCACAGTGAGATCCTGTCCCAAAAATAAAAATAAAAAAAGAATGATGGTCCACAGAAAAGCAACAAAAAACTGCAGGCACCAAAATTCAGAAAGTATTTGTTTATTTCCATAAATGTTTTAAGTGCATCTGTTGCAACACACAACACATTGGAGTATGAAGATTCATATTAGATACAACCAAATCCATTCATTATCAAGTGTATGATTTGCTCATATATTGTGTCTATGTTCTAATTATTCATTCAGCAATAAATTTCAAATTCATTTGTTTATATAGGTGTTCACCTCTGGTCCAAAGGTTCCTATTTGGCTATTTACAAATAATTAAATTTTATAATTTATTTTAAGTATCAATGTCAATAATAGTTATTTACATTTAAATCATGTTTTATAACTCAATATGTCCATTGTGTGTTGCAATGGATGCACTAAATGCATCCAGCTGGCTGGCATTCTTAATGGGCTTATTTTTGGTATAGGGGTTCTACTATGAGCATTCTGAAAAAAATCATGCTAGAGCCTATTTTCCAGTTAGATCTTATTTTGGGGGAAAAGTGGTAGAGGCAGTAGTCAGTGTATGAGAAAAGCTTGGAAGACGTGTGAGGAAAAATACTGATACACAGAAACAGGAGGCAAAGAAAGCCAGAGATGCATAGACAACCCGAAAGAGAAGCTCACTAGATCAAATCCAGTATCAGAGAGGTTTAGAAAGGGAAGCAATTCTCCCCTGGATGGGAGTACCCATGGTACCCTGGGTGCAGTAACACCCATCCTGGGAGAGGATCTAACACCCGAGGGAGACAGTGCCACAGAGGTGGCCAGGCCACTGGAATAGGCTCCTAACTCTTCTACCCCACCCTCCAAAGCCAGTGAATAAGATATTCACAGACCAGAGACTGGAGAAACAGGAAACCAGTGAACAGTGCCCAAGATAAAACTGCAGACCCATTGATAAGCTAAAAACAAGGGTACAATCCTGATTAGAAACCCAAATTTTAATGCTGAAAAAAGTATGGTTCAGGGTATTGCAGGATTGGACAGCACCTACGAATAGCAAGACCTTGAGAAGAAAAGTAACTGATGTGGCCCAATGGCCACCCACTCCTTATTTCTCCAAACACTGGGAGTGCTGATATCCTGCCCACTGTCCACCACTCATTCTGCAGCACCACCAAGTCTGCAGGCGGTGACAATCTGTGGAGAGAGGAGAGTGAGACTGGGAGAAAAACTATAAAAACAGAATACAGGAGGAGCTGCAGGTTTATAGAGTGGGGGGTGGGGCAGGCTGACCTAGCCGCACTGCACCCTTCCACCTCAACTTAACTGAGGATATCCAAACATAAGACACAGCAGAAACCTCTGACTAGCTATGCCCACAGAAATGAACCAAAGTTCAATAGAAGGCAGTGTACAGCAGAGGTGGGCTCAGTGTTCCCAAAATCCTTTCACTCACAGGCAGCTATGCAAATGAACAAATCATACGAGGTGGCCAACTCAGGGGACTTGCAGAAGTGGGCTAATGGCTAAGATGCACCTTATGGACACAGTGACACGCCATGGAAAGCAGAGGTACAGGAAAGAGCTACATCCAAAAATCCATCCAGATCCCCCCATATACAAGTCGAACTTTCTCTATTTGTAAACTAGTGGAAAGAGTTCAGTGGATTATTTCAGACTGCAATATAAATAGAAGAGAGGCCAATTAAACTTTGGATACTGGTAACTAACTATGTTAGTTTTAATGAACATGACTGATATGGTTGACTCTGGTTATAAAACTGGTACAGATTCTCCTTTTGACACAGCAACTGGGTCTGATTCAGTTAAGCTGAGCAGTTAAAGTAGTATACAAATACCAAATACAACCAAAGCCAAGATCGTATCACTGGGAAGCTGACACCAACTAAAAAGACCTCCATACCAGCAACAGAGTCTTTCCACTCTAATTCATCAACTCTAAGTGCGCGTGCGCGCACACACACACACACACACACACACACACACACACAAACACACACACAAAAGGAAGGAAGGAAGGAACAAATGAACAAAGGAACAAAGACAGCAAGCAAGCAAAACATGAGAAACAAGGTTAACAAGATGTAACAAGATGACTAAAAAATTCTTAACTCCCCCAAAGCTGATCTGATGGGAACTACCAGGGACAAATTCAAAAGCAAATGGCTGAGGGCTGAGGATTTAGCTCAGTGGCACTGTGCCAACCTTGCAAACGCAAGGTCCTGAGTTCAATCCCCCAAACCAGAAAAAAAAAAAAAAAACAAATGGCTGAAATATATAAAAGAGATGTTTCGTGGGCTCAAAGATAATATAACTATATACCTAAAGCACTTAATTGATTAAATGATCAGTGAACTTAAAACACAAATAAAAAGTTGGGAAAACTAACCAAGAGAAAACATGAATGACCATTTTAGTAAGAGTTAAAGAAGAGATATCAAACAAAATCCATACTACAAAAAAATTCTACTGAAAGTACTGGCAGCAGAAATGACCAATTTTAGCAGACAATGGCAACATTAGAAGATAGGGTTATGGGCCGAGAATTTAGCTCAGTGGTTCTGCTGCCAGAGTTCGATCCCCAGTACCAAAAAAAAAAAAAAAAAA